CAAATGTCTTGATACCTCAGCCTGTTGATGTTGCCATCCACTCTGCAGATCTTTCGCACAGCCCCATATTGAATTTAACCCCAAACCATGATTTTTCCTTCACCAAACTTGACTGATTTCTGTGCAGTTCAACAGAAAAATGAACCTTCTGCCACTTTTCCTAATGATCAACTAGCAAGTCATTATTATAATAACTTACCACTGGGATCGACAACAAAACCTTTATCAGGAAGTGTATTATTATCTACTGTACATTAAAATAATTCCATCCAGCAGTTTGAGAAAATCTGTCTGATATATACAGCAAACAAGGCCACAAGGAAAATATTGTTTTACACCTTTAACATCTGGGATGGGTGTTTTGATAGCATTTCAGAAGATGCTTACAAATGTACAAATATAAACAATTCATTTACCATCCCATCAGTACAACAAAAATATACATCTCTGTACAAAAACGCATTCATTCAGCACCGTGAAATGACAATAACTATAATGTACACTACACCAGACATTACACAGCACTCCAGTAGACATGACACACAGTTCAGTTCTCTTAGTGACCTACAGTGGCAAATTTAGAGACGAACTTAAAAAAAGTCTTGTTTGTGAGTGTCTGACGTGGTTATTTTTTGATACGTCAGCTACAGATATTTACACTCTGATTAACATAAAGCAGATTATGATTCCTGACTATCATGGAGTCTACTGGAACAACGTACTGTAAATCAGTAATGACCATTCTCTGGCCTCTGCTGATTGGTTCTGGCTGAGGTAAACAGTTTATGAGGTGTATGCACATACTTCAGAGAGATTAAAGAAATTTGTCAACATAAATAAAAATAAATGTCCCTATTATAACTGAGAGAAAAAAGGAGAATTTCTGAGAAATTAAAAAATATAAAATATATTGGAAAGCACAATGAGACTTGTGAAAAAGTTTTCCATTGATTTGAACTGTACTTTGTTAGGCAAGGACACTGAGAATTTATTCCAGATTATTATTATTATTATTATTGAAAAAAATCTGGAAACTGTAGTTTTAAAGTTGTCCAGATGATGTTCTCAGCATAATTTTAAATTCTTTTTATTTATTTGTGATACAATGAAATAGACAAAATATCTTTATGGAACATGATGTTTATTATATACTCAGATTTTTGGCATAAAAGTTAATATTTCTAATATTGTTTTTTTTTGCCATAAAAAAACGCAATAATTTAGACCAAGGTTACATACGTTAAAGTCAGAGTTATTATTTTTTAAATATTTCCCAAATGATGTTTAACAGAGCAAGAAAACTTTCACAGTATGTCTGATAATATTTTTTTCTTCTGGAGAAAGTCTTATTTGTTTTATTTCGGCTAGAATGAAAGCAGTTTTTATTTTTTTAAACCATTTTAAGGTCAAAATTATTAGCCCCCTTAAGCTATATATTTTTCAAATAGTCTACAAAACAAAACATCGTTATACAATAACTTGCTTAATTACCCTAACCTGCCTAGTAAACCTAATTAACCTAGTTAAGCCTTTAAATGTCTTTAAATTAAAGCTGTATAGAAGTGTCTTGAAAAATATCTAGTCAAATATTATTTACTGTCATCATGGAAAGATAAAATCAGTTATTAAAATGAGTTATTAAAACTATTATGTTTAGAAATGTGTTGAAAAAATCTTCTCTCCGTTAAACAGAAATTGGGGAAAAAAATAAACAAGAGGGCAAAATAATTCTGACTTCAACGGTATATGTAATTACAACCAGTGCTTCATTTGAGCAGCATCTTGTCGGAACCGGCTTTAACTTGTGCATGGTGAATACCTACGCTCGTGTGTGTGTAAAAGAGAAAATGAGCGTTATCGCCCACATGACGGCCTTCGACAATATTTTCGTAAATCGGCTTGTTTACAATTACTATCATTGGTTTATGATTGTTTCACGCGCAGTGAGCAGCAAAACTAAATTATGGCTGTTTTTCAATATGCGTTCCACAGCGAGCTTGCGTCCTCGTGTTCTCATGTAACATCATCATCATCCGCCAATTTCCAGAAACTCAAGACCGCAAGAATGGAGGCTGTGTGAAGGTTCCCGGATGTGTTCTTAATATTGAGGATGCATCGATGCAGAAGTCATTGTGACTAGAGGTGGGAAGCGAAGCACTATATATATATATATATATATATATATATATATATATATATATATATATATATATATTTATTATTAAAGTTCAGAGATATCACTTATTTATAAGTCAGGAGGTTCCCTAAATGAAACAGTAAAAAGTAAATATTACCATAAAAATCTCAATAAAAGAATAAACACATTAAGGGTGTTTATTTGTATAAATTCGTAATAAAATCTGTTTTATTTGTATTGTGCAAAGTATATTTAAAGGTTTTTATGCATAGTATATATTGTGAAAAGGGGAAAAAACAATATAATCGCTGTATGAATGCTGTAATGTGTAAATAATTTTTGGCTAAAAATGCATGAAGGTCATGTGACCATCAGGAACAACGCGCATCTCATTTCTCATAGAACGCGTTCTGTGTTCAAGCGGTCACCCAAGTTCGTTCTTCCGAGGTGACCTGGCAAGACCGATCTTCACAAGAACGCAAGTCCGTTCTCGGCATTCTTAGAATTGAGAAACAGCCTATATTTGTATTTTCAAAATGGCAAATAGACATGCATGTTTTCATTTAAAACACCGGGTATCTGATAATGAGCCTGATCAAAAGAGATCTCAAGAAGATTAACTGCACAAATGGATCAGGATAGTGGGAGACAGAAGCAAAGCGATCTCAAATTACAGCCAGAAAACATGACAGAAGAGGTAACTGTGGGTTCTTCTTGAAGCTTAGACTGAGTAAGTCATTCAATTATTATTTTAACTTCACACATAATAGTGAAATTTACTGAACAGAGATTGTTTATACATGTTATATTTATAGCTAGATGATTTTATTAACCATAACTGACCTATAATTTTATATGGCACAAAATATTAAAAGACCGATCAGAAATGTGATTCTCTCTTTTTGCGCTGTCACGGTTTAATGACGTCATGTTCCGGGAGAACGGTCACGGTAACTTTTATTTCCTGGTTTTGTTCCGGTAAATATTAATCAACAAATTAAGCACTGATTGCAACTACAAAGAAAGTTGCATTTGTGACAAATTAGGGGTTGGGAAATATAACATCTAAATAAAAATGTCAAGATATTGAATCACAACTACAAGATACGAAGTAACAATTGTGATAATGTCAGAATAGCAAGCTTTCAAAAGGCTTCCACACGTAGGCCCAATCCTAATTCTACCCTTTAGCCCTTCGCCTTATGTAGGGGTGTCCCAGTTTCTCTTTAGCTTGAAGAGGAAGGGCTAGATAGCCCTTGAAATGGAGATTTTTCAAGACCACACTCGAAACCAAGGAGTAAAGGATTTTCCCAAAATATACCATCTACAACGACAGCATGGCTGCACACATAAGTAAAGAGATGCACAAGTTATTATTTTTTCATAAGAATCATATGTTTTAATATATTCATAACGGCGTTCGTGTAAATAAAATAAAAATAAATCGCTATTTATAATCCCTAATAATAACTCCTGTATAGCAGTCCCACAACATACTTTCCCATCTGTCACTTGATGACACTCTAATACCCTGTCAGAAAAGTCTAGAGACTGTGAATGATCTTTTTCCAGTGTCCGGTATAACGTTTATGTTGTTTTCTTCTTTGTACATATGTAAATAGTGCCACTAGGGTTGTGGGATTAATCGAATCGCAATCACAATTTGAAACAATGCAATTAGTTAATCGCAAGAGGCTGCAATATAATATATATATATATATATATATATATATATATGTAAACAAGAATAACGAATAACATCTGAGGTGAAGTGCTTCAAAACCAGTCCACTATGCTTCAGAAAATCAAACATGCGAGACTTTCTGCAATGGTGTCTCGAGGCATCACAGACATGGTATCGGTTGTCATGAACTATGCCACATCACATGACAAAAATCGATTGAATCTTGTGTCACAACATACATTTGTCATTTGTGACTCTCTGCGACACCCTACGTCAAGGAAATCATGCCGAAATCGTGTGATCTGACCGGGCCTTTATAACTAGCCAATTAAGTGAGCACTTTCGTTCTATCCAATTAGAATTGCGCAACTGAACTACACCCACAATAAAAAAAACAAACAGGTAAGCGCTGACAAGTGGGATGATGGTGTCCACTACTTCAGAAGAAGTAATAGACTAAGTAATATCAAAGAAAAACAGCATTTGTAATATGAGAATATTTTGGTTTCAAAGTCATAGACACCAAACAAAAACATGTATATTTTAAGAGCTTTCGCAGAATTTGCCATGGCTTACGGAATAAAAATAAATCAGCTTGAAGATTTAATTCAATTGTAAATTAAATTGCAATACCTGTCAAAAAAAAAAAAAAATGGCCACAGTATAAATGCACAGTACAGTTATGAGCTTATTGCCACATTAACGTTACATTGTTATGATAACATGATATATGCCTTCAGTGAGTAACTACAGCAGTCGCGATCGTCGATCTCATATGAAGCAAGAGATTGCGATGACATATGATGACGTGTGCATGTAATGTAGTGGTGTCCCATTTCTTAGAGGTAAATTTTAAAGCCCTTCCCCTTCACACACTGTTTAAAGGGCCAAGGGGAAGGAGTAGGGGTAAAAAAATTGAATTGGGATTGGGCTTTAATCTATTCCTGATTCATACCTTAGTTTTATTTTCACTAGTAATAGTTTTAATTTATGAAAACGAAAGGTTAAAATCTCTCTTGAATATTAGTTGCCTTTTGGTGTGACCTACAGCATTCAGTCTGTATTAGTCAACCATTAATTGACCTGCTCTACGTCTGACATATTTACATATATGCTCACACATTTGTAACAATGAAGTCAAACCAGGATGTGTATGTGTTTAAACAGCAGATGACATGTCTATCCAGATACCCAGTTATGTGTGCTGGTCTTGACACTGTGTGTGAAGCTCTGCTGGCTGCTCATGGGGTCGAAGTTGAAATCCAAAGCATCGCCGTCCATGAGTGTGTCGTGAAGGACTCTTTCTACGTCACACTCCACGTCCAGCTGGTCGATCAACATGTCGTCCAAGTCACTGGGGAGCCGCTCTGGGTGGCTGTGATGGTGGTGAGCAATCGCTCCATGCCTGTGGAAACCATTGCCATTGGTGTAGCTTGGCATCCCGGCCTCACCTCCACCTCTTCCCAAATGAGTATGATGAGGCAGGTGTGGTTGTGGCTTCATGCTACTTAGTCGAACAGGATGCCCGTGGGGCAACATTGCACATCCGTTCAGGCCCATTGCTGGCGAGGGCAATTGATGAAGTGAACGTGGGTGCGCATGTAAGTGAGGATGAGTGATCATTTTGCCTCCTTGTGCCATCTGTCCTTGACTAGCATAGCTTGGTAGCACCGGTTGCCCTTCCCCAGACTGCATTAGCTCCCCTCTTGGATCTGCATCTGCGGTTAGCAACTCTTTTAGAAGCCCTGGGGCGCAGTTGTACTGACCCACAAATGGCCCGTATCCTCCTGGTTTACTGTCTGATAAAGTCGGTATGGAGATGGGATTTAGTCCACCCACTCCACCTTGCCCATACAGGCACTTCCTGTAGTCCTGTTGGACTTGGGGCTGAGGACCCATGTTGGGAGAGGTGTAGGACGGGTACCCGGGGCTGCCCTGCATCAAAGGTGAGGATAGCGCGGTCTGGGCTTCTTGGCTGCCCTGGGTGTTATTTTTGGGTGATATGAGGTTGAGGTTTTCTAAGAGATTGTCCATCATGTTTTCAGAACCGTGATGACCCGCCACTTCGGACAGGCTAGGAAGGGGACCACCCAGTTTGGTGCCTGGGTAGCCAATGTGGACCTCGGCTGCCTCATCTTCCTCAGGGAGGAAGGGTGAGCGGCGACCGCTGAGAGTGCTGGCATCAGAGCTGGCACGTGTACGAAAGTTGCCCCAGGGTTCAAAGTCATCATTGCTGTGAGAGTTGGGGCTACCGAGCCATTTCGGGTACTGAGAACCAGGACTGTTTGAACCCCCATCTAGACCACCTTGCAACGACATCTGCAGATGCAAAAAAAAAGACCATGAAAATGAACTGTAGAACATTTACAAGCAACTGAAGCAGAGCTTGAAGATAAACAAACAGCGGTTTATCATAAGCATTTTATCGATAATTAATTACACAGTTGGTATTAAGAAGATACAACATAGAAACTTTGGGCTCTTTTTTGACGATCCAGGCACAGAGTTCAAAGCGCAGGGTGCAAAAGCATTAAGGGCATGTCCGAATCCACTTTTTTAAAACTCAGTTCTAATTTCCAGCAAACAAATAAATAAACAGTAATGACGACTTTAGACCTCCTCTTTGCTGGTCTATCGAACAGTGCATTTTAGTTCCTCAAAATAGCAACGTGCCAGCAATGTGCCTTAACATCCCTCCTTTTTTAGACCAGAACGCCTATGGAAAATGCAAATGCATTTGCTATTTAAACAGCGAGGTGCAAAACATCAAAACGACTCTTGCGCTGAGCTGAAACTAGCAAACAACAATTGCATCGCGCCTTGTGTCACATTGCGCCAGGTGTATGATGGGGCCCCTTATTTTAACAACATTGAGCAGCTAAATGTATCTGGAAAAATATTCAAAGGCTTTTATTTTCATAAACCGTGCAGATGTGAATGCGTTTGAGTGGATTGGCTAAAGTAGACATCTAACGTCTGCGCGTTCTAGACGTGAAGGCGCTCTTTCCGGCAGTCTTTCTTCTTTGTTTACACAGCACAGCATTCCGGCAATAGAGAGGGATAGAGAGGGCGGCGTCCCCGAAACTACCCTCGCCACCCGCGCCCTCATCTGCGTCTAGGGTGGCAGAATAGAAAGAGCGGCGCCCCCGAAACTATCCTCACCACCCGCGCCCACAATTATATCCGCGTCTAGGGTGGCAGAATATAGAGAGCGGCGTCCCCTTAACTACCCTCGCCACCCGCGCCTCTGTTATAGCCGCGTTTAGGGCGGCAGAATAGACACCCCCCCACACGGTTTCACTTTAGGTTTGAGGGGGGCGTGACCGTCCTTTGCCTAGAGCGGCAGTTCAGCTTGCTCCGGCCCTGGTAACGTTACAACTTCTCTTTCCGGAAAATTGCCGGAACGAATTTACAGTTTTTTTTAAAAAGGACCCGTTGACATACAGAATATTGCCGGTAATTTTCCCAATAAGATCTGTATATGTGAAAGGGGCTTTTGACTATACTTTACTATACCATGGAAGCAAACCCTAAGGTGGTTTAAACACTTTTGTAGCAAACCAAAAATAAAAAAGGTGCATCTACTATAGGCACGTTTGGATGCAGAACAAATGTTGACGGTTTTATTAATTGTAATTTAAACTATTTTAATATTCCATTGTGCATATTTGGTGGTGACAAAATCAAAAGATATTGGTTTATCACATTCATATTTTGGCAAACAGTGTAGATTGTTCTCCCCTCAACTGACCTTTTTCTTGGCAGCTCGTCCACGGCTCTTTGTGAACTTGCTGTTGTTGTCCATGGAAGTGGCCCGCCGGCGTGGAGATTTGCCACTCTTTCCCCCCTCCGGGTTCAGCATCCACCAAGAGCTTTTCCCTGTTCCTTCATTCTGGACGCGCACAAAGCGACTGTGCAGGGACAGATTGTGTCTGATTGAATTCTGCAAGAGAGAGAATGGCATGGGAACATGAAAATCTGAGAATAGATAACTGACTGAAGGCCAATCACTGGAAGTGGAAATGACTTGCAATCATTTGACCAATGTTATCATTTCTTGCCTTGAGATGTAGATCACTCAACAGAACAAATATGTAATGAAACACTGATCATGTTTCTCAAATGCAAGATAAGGTGGCAAAAATGGCCAATGTTTTGACAGACAAGTGCCGACGCCTGTATGTTTTTGCCAATGGTTTTATGTTTAATTTGTTGAGAAAACAGGACAGAGGCCACTGATACTGAATAACCAAATCATATGCAACCAATTTACAGATAATAAGCCTTTTTCTAGACTACATAAAGTACTATATGATTTGGAGGAGATGCTAGTTGGTTAGAAGAGAGAGAAAAAAACATTAGTCATCACACACTGAACTCATTCGCACACATCCTGCACTAATGATATTTTGTCTGCTGAAGTTTTTCCACCCTGAAAAGGCCTACTGTACACAACTATAAAAGGGGGGAAGAGACTATAGTCACCTTTAAAAGCTTTAAATACTTTAAATATTATCGTTGATTTTTTTAAAATGCATGGGGAGTCATTTTGGCCTGAAATGCTCATTGAGCAGAGGTTTGGAGAGGTTAAAAGTAATTGATAATTTGTTTTGTGTAGTATTTTGATTGTCCCATTCCATAATAAGGTGAAAATGATTTAGCTATAAAACATGATAAATTGTAGCGTTTAACCCTTGCAAAAAGAAAAGAATAAAGTTTGATCATTTGCACTGTCTAATAAACATTTCATATTTATTATTTAATACTGTAAAGCCTTATGTGCTGTTGAGGATATTTTTGTCCACTTCGGGGTGATTTTGTGTCTAAATTTGGTCATAACTTTCTCTGTGTTTCAGCTAGCAGAATGACTTTTAGTGGCAAATCCTATTTTGACACATATTTTGAGAAAATGCTTTGAAGGAAAAAAAAACCCTCAACAATACACTCTTTACTACCCTTTTGTTATGTTGCGGATGAAAACATCCACTAAATTAAACTGCTGTAAAAATGCATCAGATTAACATTATTATTTTAAAATTTGCATGAATCTGTTAATCAACCTCAGTCCTGATCAAAACGACTAAATTACTTAGTAAACAGGATTTTAACTCTTTAATTGCCAAATTTATAAATGATGTCACTGATTTGGTGGGGAAAAAACACACACAAAATGTCGTAATTTCAATATAAAAAGTAATTGCGGACTGGATTTTTTTTCAACCTTTTATCAAGTCTTAGACATGTGAACAACATTGCCTTTGATGCATTGTTTTTGATTAATTGTATTTTTTTTCTCCCTAAAATACTGTTAGTGGCTGTTTTTGCCCCATTGACTTTCATTATAAACACACTTTTGGATTACAAAACCATGACAGCATATAATCATGCATTTTTGATTGTTGGTGGTTTTCCCTCGTTGGGAAGTGGTAAAACTTGTAATTTTACCCTAACCCTCACTGATCATCAGTTGGCACTATTAACCCTTTAGATAAGGCCGTGCAAAAAAGGCTTAGTTTCTGGATAATATACACATAAAATAAAAAAGGATAATAAACATAAAAAAACAAAAACAAATCACAATTATTTGGTGCAAAAAATACAGGAAAAAGGTATGATAAAACACAATTAATCGTTAACGAACTCATCAAATACCTGAAACACACATTTAATGACTATAAATTACAATTAATTCTTAGACAATAAATCATCAAGCACGTGCCATAGTCACAAAAGCTTGATTACAAAGGCTGTACATTTTCAAAACAACAAAGGGCTTGACTGGTGGAATGAACAGTCGGTTTCCTGCATAGAAGGAAGTGGATCGGTAGGAAGAAGGAAAGCAGAAGTTTAAGCCACAGAGGAAGGTCAGCAGGAGGTCACCTTCAACCTTTGATCCTGAAGGTCATGACCTTAGAGGTCAAGTTAGGGGAAACACAGCTTCCATATCACACAACTAAAGCTCATGGATGTGAACAGAAACAGTGGTCTGAAAACACAGTCTGGGTCATGAACACTTAAGTAACCCAGAGGTCAACTGACCAGTTCAACTGGCCCTGCTTGGGCAAGAGCGAAAAATAAAGTTGAAGGAAAGGATGCTGAGTGAGAGGAAAAGGAAGTGCTGGAGGAATCGAGATAAATGAGAAGGTGAGGTACCAGTATGGAAAGTGAAGTGGTGGAGTTTGCAGGGATTGAGTCAGGGAGGTGGAGGTAAAGGCGGAGCAGAGAGAATGTTTTCCCGCTGAGAGGGACGAGGTCGATGGGTTTGTGTGTGTGTGTGTGTGTGTGTGTGTGTGTGTGTGTGTGTGTAGAGGAGGACGGCCTCTCCAGTAGTGCTGACAGACACTTGCAAACAGACACACAGAGAGAGTAATAACGTATGGGTCTGTCTGGCGTCTGTCTACACTGTAACAGAATCCCCGTCGCAAAAGCTTGAGACTCAAGAGACACAGAGAGAGACAGAAAAAAGACAGACAGGCACACAGAAAAAAATAGAGAAAATTAAATCTGATACCAATATGCTGATTACTTTAGGTCAATAACTGTTAAAATGATGTTCTATTTTGACAAAATAAATAAAAAACTAAACACTACATGTTGTAATAGTAACAAATTAAGTAGAATACTCTAACATGCAACTAATAATTCAATTCATCTTTATTTCTATAGCCATTTTTCAATGTAGATTGTGTTAAGGCAACTAAACATTAAAGCAGTTTCAATTTACTAGAACTTCATCTGTCCAGTTTAGCACAGTTCAGTTTAGTTCAGTTCAGTGTGATGTAAATGTCGCTGCTAAAGACCAAATACTGAAGAGTAAATCCAACGATGCGCAGCTCCACAAGTCAATATTATAAAATTTAAAAGTCAATAAATAATAATAAACTGTTGTTTAAGAAGATGAATCTGAAGTGATTATAGCAAAAATGAGACCCTGGACAAAAAAATAAATAAATCAGTTATAAGTCTAGATTTTTCCATTTACGTATGGTTTGTTTAGTACAATATTTGGTCAAGATACAACTATTTGAAAATCTTTAATCTGACTGTTCATGAAAATCAAAGTTAAGTTTTTGACTCTTCTAAAACGTATAAATATTATAATATGTTTGCTGATAAAAGAAACAGACTAAATGAACATTCTTGTTTATCTGAAAAACAATTCTGAAGTCAGATATTCTGCTTTGAAAATGGGCATAACGTGCCAAAACGGCTGTCTTTGTTGTGGTCATTTACTCCACCTAATGCTAGTTTAACCAATTATATTTGATTCACTCATTCAGAAAGGCTCTCAAAGCATGCGTCACACCGAAATGTGACCTCTGGTGGAGAGTAGCAGACACAGATTCAGAGTTCCACATGAGGTTATTAATAAGCAAATAATATAAATATTACGAGCGTAAATATTAGGTGAGCAGGTTACCTTGTAACCGTGTGTCCTAACAACACACTATGTAAAGAGATAAGCAGTGAAGCAAATTGGCTGTTTGCACTAAATGAAACATGACAGAAACACTAAACAAACAAACGAAACATGACAGAAATTTAAATACAGCCATTCAGAAGGACAGAATAGTGCCCTTACTGCACTCCAACAAAATGGTGAGGTTTACATTGTTATTAATACATTTTAAACCTCTTTAACATTATTAAATGTACATGCTGAATCACTGATATGTGTTGGCTTGCACTGAGTCCCAGTTCTAAAGTTCAATTTCAAACTGTTTATTTTATTTTCAAGAACTGATGCTGCTTTCAGTGTATGGCAATAAATATCATGTGAATTAGCAGTCAAACTCACATTATTAGGATTTAATACTTAATAAAGCACATGCAGTGTACCTGATCATTGTTAGTTTTCTGTTGTTCAGCTGCAAGAAATAGAAGCTATGTCTAACGTATAAAATTTAGGTGTTGGTAAGGAAAAAAACATTGAAAAATATTCCTTCTATGGCATGATGTTGCTTTTATTTAACACGATTTAAATCAGCCTTTAGGTTTAATAGTCAAGCTTGCTCCTGTTGGTGTCATCAATCTGGCAACCTGTGCTTGCGAGTGTTTTGAACCAGGCATGCAATTCCTAGTTTGACCACGGGGTGTCAAACTTACATACTGCACCTTTAAAGTTGTCCATGAAGCGCTTTGAGTGCAGATTACATAAAAAAACATTATTTTTATATATTTACATTATGAATTGTAGAAAATGCCTTCATGGAACATAATCTTTACTTAATATTCAAATGATTTTGACATAAAAGAAATAAATATATAATTTGTCCCTTATGATGTATTTTTGGCAACGGCCCACAACATTCCCATACAACATTAGACAGGTTTTGTGTTCCAGGGTCACTTATTTTACACCATTCCATTGTTCACTGCATCCTGAGCAAACCCACTCTAAAAGGTGAAGATTTTTCACAAATACTATCATATATAAAGACAAAATAAAAAAAAAAACAAATTAGTTATGTGATCCTTTCATTTAAACACATTTTTTACTTGCTTTTCCAATTTGTTTTTCCCAAAACATAACTTGAGAGATAAAATGCTGTCGCTTGAAACTCTGTACTTCACTTCTTCAATAAATCAAAGAGAAAACAAAGAAAGAAAGAGAAGAGGTTGTGCGTGTTCAAGTGTACTCATGCATAAATTCATCTACTGGTATTAGCAGATAACACACGCACACACATACACACGCAGTCAGTTTCAGGGCACATGTGCAGCACATGCAGAGCAGCAGGAAGTGAGTCACTCCAGGAATGCGACAGGGAAGGTGTCACAGTCTGATCAAACTGTCCAACACTTGCTCAAAAAGAGCAAAGAAAAAAAAAAGAAGTCATGCTGATTTCAGTGCTGACCAGCCCTGTGACTGCCGGGGCTTCAGGTATGCTTGTGTCTCTTCTCACCACCCTCAAAATAGATTCAACTCACTGATAACTGATC